TTAGTTTCGTCACAGCTATTTTAATTTAGATCACCTTTCCTGTCTCTCCTAGCTTCAGATTACAACTCCCTACCAGAATGAAGTTTTAGAAACGCGGTAAATACAAATGAGGAAGAGAATAGTATTTAACCTCCTAGCACGCGCGCTTGGCAATTTTACATGAGCACGCGCGCGTCGTATTTTTTCCGGCATTTAAGTGAATTATTTTACCGTTTTTGGCCCGAAAAACGACAGAAATGAGTGAATATCAATAATAAATTTGTTAAGAAATAAAATATTAATCTTATTATTGCAAAATGCAAATGATATCACATTCAAATATAAGCAAATTATTTTTTTAAAGTTCTTATGTCAGTGAGATGGAAATGCAATGATGTATTTCATTATAGAAAAATTTAAATTCATAATTAATAAATATATTTTAAAATTGAAGCTAATTTTAATATTCATCAAAGGCAAGTATAGACAATAAAAAAGAAAAATACCTTGGTAGGGAAAAAAGTAAGTTTAGCATTACTTACTTCTGAAAGGAAATTTACTTCTTACTGGTTACAAAAACGCACTTAACTTTAATATTTTTATTTATTTCTAAAAAAATAGAAATAAAAGAAAATAAGGAATGGAAATCTCTATTGTTCTGCCATCCAAAGGTTTTCTTGTCTTCCTTTTTTTCATCAGATAATTCTTGAAGTATGCGAGCAAAATCAGCTGGTTGCACATACTTTTTTGCCATAAAAACCGACATAAAATTTACAGAGCCAAATATATTCAAATTAAAATAATACATGGCAATGAATAACACAAAATTACAAAATATTTGAGGAAAAAATATTTTCCGAATTTTCACCCACGACCACGCGCGTGTCGTGACTTTTACGGAAAAGCCATTTAAAAAGTCAAATGTCTTCCTGTTGGCCCATTCCATGATGTGGGGAAGGGTAGAAAGGGAATAGAAATGACCTTTAGACGTCTCAGCTTCGATATGCGAAAAATATGCATTAAAAACTGAATTTGTCTTAAATTTTGCGCATACACGCGTGCTGGAAGGTTAAGTCAACTGACTTCGAAAGAGAGTTAGGATTCCAGGGTAGCGCGAGTTTTCGTTTGGGTTACGTCTCTTTAAGCTTTTGTACGCTCGGCCGTATGATTACCTGCCTTTTGATAGTTTGCCGGCTAGTTTAAGATTGCGGGCCGAATATTTCTTACTTTTTGAGTTCAAGCGCAACTGGAGGCTTTGCTGTACGCCCGAAGAAAGGGCTGTTAATCTTATTTTGAGTGGATAAAGAGTGACTAAACCCTTTTTGAGCTTACGCTTTCTGTTCTTTGAACTAAGCGATAATTCGCTTATCAATTCACTAGGTTCCTCGACATTTTATTTAACAGGAACTCTATAAGTTCTTTCTATAAGAGTAAAGCTATTTTGTTTAAATTAAATTAAAAGTTAACAAAAGCCTCAAAGAGATATGATAAAAATCTACTTTTTTTTTTGGCTAGGGTCATAACCAGAGATAGTTACACAGTTGTAATCTGAATTATAAAGATTTAAAAAAGACACAGGGATACCATATCGAATCATGATTGAAGTCCTAACTACTTTTGATTCATGAAAATAATATAATGTGTAATGTGCACAAACTAAAATTAGTAGAAAGCTGTCCATTCAAATTGTGAAGATATTGAATAAAAGTGTTGTTAATATTTTCTTATGTAACCAAGGAGTTTTCCAATCAGTCTCTACCATTATTTCAATCTTTCCGTGCTTGGAATGAGTCACTCTGTAGCTAACTTGTAAAGGCATTAGTATTTTTAGGAAGTAGGAAAGATGAAAAATTAACAACGCCTTCGCCGGGAATCGAATTGCGGACCTCTGGAATACCGGCCCAGTGTGCAGAAACACTACACCACGAAGGTACGCCAAGAAGGTGGGAGAAATACCTTATATACTCCCCCTTTTAAAGGGCGACTGGGGTTTTTAGGGGATTCAATCGCCAAATCCTGGGTGTGGATAGTCATCATCCACAAACCTTTTAGTTCGGGCGCCAGTGTAGAGACATTAGTATTTTTAGGAAGCAGGAAAGATGAAAAATTAACAACGCCTTCGCCGGGAATCGAACCGCGGACCTCTGGAATACCGGCCCAGCGTGCAGAACCACTACACCACAAAGGCACGCCAAGAAGGTGGGAGAAATACCTTATAAACTGATATTTATTCTCATTGAATTCAGTAAACTTTAAACAGAAAAATGTTAAAAAATTATCCATAGAGAGTTCTTGAATTTTCTTCAACATTCTTGCTATCAGTTTTCATTTCGTGTTTAAATCGTACTTAAATTACGCAAATCTAAATACCCTTGTTATCCCATTTCTTTTTATCCAGAAGCGGGAGAAGTCACAAGACATACGTTGACGTTATGTTGTTGTGACGTATCTAACTTGTCTGACAGTAACACCAGACCAAACCCTCGGAATTCATCGAGGCAAGGAGTGCAAGACTGAGCCGGTCGTTGGCAACAGCCTTGAGCCCCTTACAGGCGTCAGTAGCGACAGTACGACTCTGCACAGTTTCGCCTCCACTTTTTAAGGCGAGCATTCAGAGGGTCTTCTATCCATCTTACCTTACCACCAACCGCTCGAGAGGATTTTCGGCTCGCCGCATATTTAGAGCTTCCCACGCTCCACAGAATCTATACATATAAAAACAACCGTAGGCTCTACGGGATTCGAACTTGGGTCCTTCGGTACTACAGTCAGCGTTGCTAAGTCCCTTACTCAGATATTATCCTAACGTGAATTAAAGCATTAACTTGTGAATGGGTAATGTAGTAAAATACCGGCAGTCTTAGATTAGTATGTGCGCGAAAATTTGGGATATCACTAACTGGTAATTATACAAGACTTTTGGCCTTTTTGTTTGCAATGGCGAACTGGAAGAGCTAAAATTTTAAGAAAATTTAACGGATATTGTCAGTTCATTTCAGTAAATAATTTCCGACACTACTGAAATCTCTGAAACTCATATGAAGCAACTACGTTTGCGAGCGTAATATAAATAACTACGATTACTTTTTAAAATCTAAGGGTTAATTTTAGCTGCATATAGCTAATTTATACTATTCATAATCTTGAGAGCAAATAAGAATTTTAAGTTGTAAGTTTTAGTAACTGTACTAGCAACAAGAATTGCAGTTATGTGCAACCCAAACCTCTTTACCCTTCATGACATTTTTTAAAATATAAATTTTCACTGTTCGAAGCCCAAAATAGGAGGACCTGAAATTAATAAAAGCAAATTACGATGCAAACGCAACAAATGTACATGCAAGGCTGTTGTAGCGTCCAAATGGATTAACTTCTATTTGAATACAAAAGCAGCAGGAAACTACACAGAAGAAGGATTCAAACCCTTTATTAACTCTTTAAAATTTACAATGCGTCATCAACTTCGCCTTTACCTTGGCGGTAACTGAAAGTCGAATAATTGAAAATTAAAAGTTGAAATGTTTAACAAGTGCTAAACTAATCTACAATGCTCAGCCAGATCCCTAACTTCAATCCCTTCTACGCCAGTGGCAGTAAGGAAATACAATTAAGCCACTTGAACCAGCACTAAGCAAACGTACCCTACGGCAGAAAGACTGTAGCTAGAACCCAACTCTTCCTTTCTCCTGTCGAAACTCTCGGCTTTTATACTTCTTTGAACACAGAAAATTTGCATGCGTTGACGCATACTACAACATTTAACTATTCTGGCACTGACAATTAAGGGAATGAAGGCTTATAGAAAAGTCTGAACTTAAAATTTAAAATGTTAGTTAAAATAAATATAAATCCCTACACTGTAAAGAAGAAAAAAGATCAGAAAGTTAAAATAGTAATTGAAAACCAGTATAAAATAAATTAAAAGGGATTTGTGAATCTCCTTCCCGAAAGAAAAGGCTGATTTCGTTTGGGTTATTTTAATTAGAGCAAAGCACTCGAAGGCTATTTACCTAAGCGGAAGACTGGCTGATATACAAGTTACACATAAGAAAAACGTCCATGCACCACGCCGGAATTCGATCCCCGAACCGAACTACCAGTGTTCAGCGACTCGGCCGCTGGTGGGCAAGGAAAGCTTTTAAAAGTTCAGAACGTGTGACCAAACTGGACTGAACTGGAGTATTCTACAACACAATAAAAGCACCGCTTTCATCCAATTATATATTGAGAAATGTACTTTTCCTGCATAAAAAAATCTATGGAATGAAATTGTTAAACTGTAATAATTTCCTGAAATTTTCGATAACTGATTGATTTTTTTCTAGATTTCTTAAAATTTTACAAAAGTGTTTCTTTGAATGGACGAAAAAATTAAATACTCAAAATTGGATTCAGGATACAGTTTCCAACTGAAGGAGCTTCCGTTATAGGTAATTTTCAATTTGGTAATTTTGCAACGTAAATGCAAAGAATTTTTTCTTAGAATTTCCTCTAAAATGCATAATTAGTACATCAATTCGCCACCTTTTTTGAGGGAACTATTTTGGATTTCCAATTTGCGTATTCATCATTGCATTTCCGATTTCAAAATCTCACTTCATAATAAAATCTGTTACAAGATCTATCAAATAATCGCAATATTAAAAGCATAATTCTTACTTCTAAAATTTTATGTAAATAGCGATTCTGTTTCAGATCTCACATTCATTTTGACTGCTTCCTAGCTATAAATTTTAAAGGTTTTATAGAACTTTTTTCCTTCAAAGTGATGTTTTCTTCTATCAAAATTTTAAATAAATATAAGTACATGAATAAAAATTTTGAATAAGAATAATCAAACTAGGAAGACGTTTCATTAAGAGAGATAAGAACCTTAAGAATGTTGTTCTTTGTCACAGTTTTCTTATCAATATACTGCAATTTTCATTGATATGATAAAACTTTTGCTTTAAGAAATCAGCTTTTTCGAAATCTTTCAAATGACACTGTGATAACAGAGTATTAAAGGACAGCAATCCTACCTGGATTTCCGAAAAATAATTCTGTATGTTGGTTTGAAGAGAATAACTCGAGTTTGAATAGAAGTGAATATGAAAGCAAGTTTTATGACAAAATATTGCGAAAGACAGCAAAGAAAACCCTTCGGAATTCAAATAAACCTTCACGCCTAGAATTAGAGGAATTTGATGTTATCTGGATTACGATTTCCCATAATTCCTCAATAACTTTATGTGCGCATGCTTAGAATTTGATTTCATTCCTGATTTTTTCCTATTGATAGAAGTACTTTGTTACTCTAATAAGCACTTATATCTAAGCGTGAAATTTTAAGCAACCTTCCTTTTCTGGCTTAAACGTGTTAATAATTTTAGTTGTAGCAAAACTTCTTGAATATTTCCCCTTCGTACATTATTTAATTAATGTTATAACTCCATTGTCTGTATTTTGAACATTTTTAAATACTTCTTTATCATTTAAGTGAATTTTTATTTGATTAAAGTTTCAAAAATAATAAAACATATGTTATTTTTAAAATCAAAATCAAATTTAAGCTTTTTTTAATTTTAATGCACTTTTACCTGCTTGTCAGAAAAATCAAGAACATGTATTTGCAGTGGTGGCCAAAATTGTGGACATGCTAAACACCTTGTCGTGTACTCTGTACTGAGCGGGATACAAGCAGCGTGTCTTCTAGCAGACATCCCTGTCTCATAAACCTCTGGAAAACTGTAGACCATGAAACTCGCGCTTCATCGGCGCATAAAACTCACGTGAGAGCGTAAAGCTGTAGCAATCATGTGTCGCCGCGCTGAAAGTGTCAAAGGACGATCAGCATTCGTCATTGTCGATCTTGGTGTACCTTGTCCAGGTCTTCTCAGTATGGATCACAATGTCCTGAATTTGTTTCCCCAAACTGAAGACGACACTGGGCATTATGTTGAATTCTGTAGTCACCTGCGTTTGTGTTTGGCGTACCTTCAATCTATCGTCTTCATCTCGTTCCGCCATTCATACCTTTCTGGCTACTCATTTTACCTGATATCTTATAAAATTTACAGAACTCTTGCAACAAACAGGGCTAATGTCGTGAAGGATTACGACACACAAATCGCCGAAACTGACCTGATATCTCCATGATAAGCACAACTCCGCAAACACGCACGTGTACGCTTACGAATTCGACTATATTCGACGCTTACGAATTCGACTATATTCGATGCTTACGAATTCGACTATATTCGACGCTTACGAATTCGACTCTGAATATTTGTCGCGGCATAATTGGTTCAACAGTTTTCTTTACTATGAACAATTTGCAATTAGATTGGAAAGTAATTTCTTATTTTAGTGCACATAATGCAAACTGTAATCTTAGAATAAGCATTCCTACAAACATCTTTATATTAAATGAATGTGTTTGCAATAGCTAATTACTGTACTCATGTTGTACATAATACAGCAAAATATGCTTTGGAATTGAATGCGGATATAGAAAATATTGTTCTAAAAATTTTGGCCATTTTTCAATGTCAGCAAAGAGGCCTGAATTATTTGAAGCATTTCATTTATTTACACAAACAGAATTCTGTGAAATTCTCAAACATGTGCCTACTAGGTGGCGTTCTTTGAAGTCTTGCCCTGGAAGAATTTTAATTTCAAGTGAAGCCTTTATGTCCTTACTTCTTGAGCGGTGTCCGCCGAAAATATCGTGGCAAAAATATCGTGGAGAAAACAACACAAGACGAAAACGTCACAGTACAAAACATCGTGGGAGAAAAGAAAGCAAAGAGAAAACATCGCAGTTCTAAAACATCGTGGTACAAAATATCGTGGTCGAAAATAAAGTAGTTCAAAAACTTTGCAGTTTAAAAACGTTGTCGTCGAAAATATCGTGGTAAAAAATAAAGTACCTACAAATCATCCCGTGACGGTAACATCACACACATGCGTTTTCAGGTTTTAAAAGTTGTAAGTGCATTTTCGAATAATGATCTGGGAGCACAAGAAAAAGAAAGAAGAATATTGTTAGTTCTATATTTCGTACCTTTGAATGAACTAATAAATCTTTTCTGAAAAATTAAGATGGAAACTTAAGCATTTAAAAATTGAAAATGAGTAGAAAATTAATGCAACTCTATAGAACTTAATTTTAAATTTGCGTAGTTAATTAACAAAGGTTATTAATAAATAAATCATTTTTAAAAAGTTTTACTGATAATTTTTAATTAAAATTACAGTCTAAAAATGTTTACGAAAAGGTAGATAAATAACTGCATGAGATAATTTCTATAAAAATTGCTTTGTTAATTATTTTCTTTGACGTTTGTTAATCTGTTATATTTTAGTGAAAAATTATACCTTGTTTTGTTTCCGTTTATTTTTAAAGAGTCATTAACATTTTCACCCTCTTTCCTTCTTGCGCTCTAAAATCATTATGTGAAAATGCCTTTTCAACTTTTAAAACCTGAAAAACACATGTGATCACAATGCGATGACTTTTAGGTACTTTATTTTTTTACTACAATATTTTCTACGACGATGTTTTTAATTGCGAGGTTTTTGATTTTCGACCGCTTTATTTTGTACCACGAGTTTTAGAACCGCAATCTTTTCTCTTTACATTTTTTCCTTCCACGATGTTTTATACCACAACGTTTTCGCCTAGTTTTCTCCGCGATGTTTTCGGCTGTAACTTTCTTATGCAGACCGACTGATTGTTCTAAACATTTATATACTCAATCTCGTTTTAATTGATGTACATTATTATATAGATATGATTATATAGAAATTACACTGATTATTGAAATATCGGTGTAATTTATATAGATGGTTTTCGATTTCGGTATTCAGTTTAGCTAGTGAAGAACTAGAAAATGAGTAAAATATCCAATGAAGATATTTTCAGTGTTTTGGCTAATTAAAAAAGTAAATTAAAATTTCGATATGATGAGAAATTGTTTGGTTTCCAGGTTCCCAATATTTAAGAAAATAGATAATAAAGAATCTGAAACGATTATGATTACTTTAAATTATTTCTTCTTCAGGAATGGTTTATTTTATATTAGAAAATGCCGTGGACCCAAACGCAGTTAATCAATGTTCACGTTTACCAGAGTGTTAAGCGTTGTCACACTTCTTTATATTCGTTAACTATTTACATTTGGGATGTAAACTTATGAAATTATTCGAATGATTTGCTACTGATTCTACAGCTGCGAAAATTGTTGCTCTTTAGAAGTCAAAAAAATGGCTGCAAACTTTTCTTTAATATTTTGATCTTCTGGTATTTTTATTTACAAAGTTGATATGAACTGTTAACATAGAAAATATTAATTCAGTATCTGAAAATATTGAATATAATATAAATATTATATTTTTGAAAAATATGAAAATGTTTAGATTAACTATTCTTTATTTTGAAGCTGTGGATGACAACTATTTGTAAAGCAATTTAAAATAGAATTCAAAATTTTAAAATTATTATTTTGGGAAATAGCTAAGACTTTTCATGTCTATTAAAAATTGGGAATTTTAAAATTCCAATAATACAATATGTAGGATGTTACAAGCCTTATTACTATGATTTAATTTTATGATTTTGCATTGTTGGGTACTAAGAAAATTATTTCATTTCAGCTGATTGTTATGTGTCACTAATTTAAATTGCAAAATATCAATAGTTGAATTTGTCTTGCTTATCTAGCAAAATTTATGAACAACCTGATACAATAATAAAACAGATCGTTAGAGCATTATAACTTAACATAATTTAAGTACACATAATTTAAGTCTGTTTTGATAAAAGTTATTATTATATTCATTATTATTATTATTATTATTATTATTATTATTACTGTGGAAGTTTCACGGTGCCTTCTGAAGTTCTGCATTTCTGGAATATGGCGTTTTAGTAAAAAAAGTTTGCCGACCGCTGTGCCATTACATTTGCACTTAATGTAATTGATTAAAACTGATAAATGAAATTTTATTTTACATTTTATCATCAGAACAAACTGTAAAATGAATGTTTTAGTGCAAGGGTTTACCGAAGAAAAATAACAGAAACATTTTTCTCCTTTTATTCAGGCTGTATATTTTAAATTAAAAAAATTGTTTATCAGTAATAATTTACATAAACATTAATGTTTCTGAAGTAATTAAAAGAGGTAGATCAAGTGCAATGCTAAAAAATATAATAGGTTTAGTTTAAGAGATTTGGAGGTTTTTTTTTTTAATTTTCTTTCAATACAGGTCTTAATTCGAAGCGTTCTTCATTCTCCTGGATTTAAAATGCCATTGCGATGACTTCTTCTGCAAAAGATTTCTGAAACGATGAAAAAAATAAAAAATTAAATTAAAAAATTATATTAACACAGTTTTCAGCAATTATAAATGCATTATAATGTAAAACGATTTTTATAAACACTTCCACAGATATGTTTTAAAAAAACCAACTGAATTCAAATTTTTTTCAGGCTTTCAAAAGAAAGAGTAGTATTTTTGTATCAGAAAGGTTTAAGGCAGTACCTTATAAGGTGTTTCTAAAAAAATTACTGACGAAGCAGATGTAAGCGTAACGATTTTAACACATAAACACGGACAAAGTAAGCATAGACGAATAGTAAGCATGAAGGAAGGAACTCATAACTGTGAACAAACAAAATTTATTTTAATACACTACTATATTTTTTCGTCTGTAACCATATATTATATTCACAAAAAAAAGCAATTATACGAAAAGATTAAAAGGATAATAGTAGCTGTATAGTAGGGTCTCTGCTGCACTAGCAAGCCTGCAGCACTGGGCATGCCCTGTGAGTCCATTGGAGTGGAGTACTTTGGATCTTTCTGTAAGATAAATAGAATTGACTTCCGCTCTTCGGAAATATACTTGTGTGAGTGGCAACGTCAAAAGTTTATCCTCGCCTAATGGCAACAGTCATGGTGGTAAAAGCTATCGTGGGCTAATACGATGACGCCACAGTCTCTTATCTCTTTTTGAAACTGTTGGAAAGAAAAAAAAAAAAAAAAAAAAAATCTTTGAAAAATTTCATGTTTTTATAGACTGCTTGTTGTGACAGTGTCATCTGTCGAACACTTTTAAAATTACTTTACCTTTTATTCTGCATACTTTCCTATGTACCCTTAATTTTAACTTATTTCTTATGTATTCATTATATAATGAGGTTTCTTGTAACCGTAACACTTTACGTTAATTATTTTACTTATTTTAATGAATTTTGCACAGTTTTGTTTTTCCTCATATTGAGCAGTTACTTCTTTACACTGCTCAATATTTTAAGTTCAGTACACTTTAATTTAAGGCTGTTAATTACAAAGTATTGAAATGTTAGCAATATTAGAATAATAGAACCATAGCAATATTTTAATTTACTATCTGTACGGTTCTTCATTCTGTAACAGTCTTATAATTATTCATTCTAATATTTCATTTAATTTTAGAGACTCACATAATTTTAACATATTTAAAGGTTTCCAGCGTATTGAGATGTTTGCTTAAAATTTTTAATAACATTCTTATTTGAAAGTATGCTTTTAAAATCTTTGATGCTGGTAATATTTAGATTGAGTCTCCATTATTTTTAAGCCAGCTTGATACATTCTAAATTTTTAGAATGAAGCCTAAACCTATAAGATTAGCAGTCTTAGCGTGCCTTCGTGGTGTAGTGGTCTGCATGCTGGGCGCATATTCCAGAGTTCTGTGGTTCGATTCCAGGCGAAGGCGTTGCTCATTTTTCATCTCTCCTGCTTTAAAAAAAATACATAATGTCTCTACAAACCTTTCATCGGTAATTTCAGAATCTCACTGAAGGTTTCATACACAAATTTTGCTTATTACTTCTACCATATAAAACCTCCTAATACAGTATTTTTTGCTAATGTATTGCATTTATACGGTTAGTTTTTAAAATTTTATGTTCACTGGTTATACGTATTTTACCTAATTTCCTTTCTCCTTCCCTAATTACGCCTATTCCAGCAAGAGAAAACATCAATTATTTGCATCGCATGTGCAAAGAAATTAATAATAATTTAAAAAAAAAAAAAAAAAAAAAAAAAAAAAAAAAAAAACATTTTCAATACGAAGCAGAGGTGAATTGTCACTTTTCACATATTTCATTCACGGAGAACCAAAAGTCTTCTCGGGCGTTTTAGTGATAGAGAAAGAGGCAAGGGACACCGCCGGACCCGTCCTCTGCAGTGCTCACATGGGTAAAGTCTGGGATGGACCTGGGTAAAATCGTAGTGTCACCTATATAATGTTTATAGTCCATACTAACGACAGATGCAATCTTGTTCTTCTCGGCATGTTTACATTCGTCGACTTGTTCTGATTAGGTCAGACAACTGAAACAAGCCACAACTAATACCGTTTAACGATCATTCGGTATCAGCACCAGTCAATTGACGTGCGGAAAGGTAATATTTCCCGCTTTACACAAATGATTAGTCCGTTAAGGCGATATTTTTAAAAAAATTATTGGAAACCTTGTAGAGTCATTCGGTTATTTTTTTGAAGCAGGAATGATGAAAAATGAGCAACGCCCTCGCCGGTAAATGAACCATGGAACTCTGGAATATGCGCTCAGCGTGCGGACCACTACACTACGAAGGCATGCTAAGAAGGCGGGAGAAATACCTTACATACTCCCCCTTTAAAAGGGCGACTGAGTTTTTGGAGACCCAATCGCTAAATCCTGGTGACGAAGTATCATCATTAACCACCTTTTAGTTCGGGCTTCACTGCAGAGTAACTTACAATTTATCAATGTCAGGAAACTGAAGAAATGAGCAATGCCCTCGCCGGGTCTCGAACCTCTCGAATATGCGCCGAGCGTGCAGACCACTAAACCACGAAGGCAGGCTAAGAAGGCGGGAGATATACCTTATAAGTTCCTGGCAAATAAGATCGCCTATCATATGGATATTTTCTGGATATTTAGTACAAGAGCATAAAATATTAAACATATGCATTAAGAAGGACGAATATTTCAAACGAAAGACTTGCATATTTCCGGTGAAAATGTATTCCACGGTAAGAGGCCTAATTACCTCTTCTCTAATTTTCATTATTAGAAAACTTTAATTAGAATTGAAAAATGAGCAATGCCCTCGCCGGAACTCGAACCCCGGACCTCTCGAACACGTGCCGAGCTTGCAGACCTTGCACTACGAAGGCATGCTAAGAAGGCATGCTTATATACTCCACCTTTTAAAGGGCGATTGGGGTTTTTAGGGGACCCAATCGCCAAATCCTGACATTTGTTACGCCGAAAGACGAATGATTTATAAGCACGAGTTATAGTCTGAAAATACGTTAATAGCATGTAGTTTTATTATTTTGGAATCATAAAGTAGTAATTATACAACAAATTCATTAAGCTACATATATTTTTAGTTTTTGATTAATGCAAATTATATTAAAAGTTCTCTACATGCTAGAACTAAAATCTTGCAGTGTTTTTTAGGATATGAATTCTATGAGATTATATGAATAAAATCACAATTTGGAAAAAAAATACCTTTCGCAATAATCTGCATAGAAATGCTCATGACTTAATCTCTTAATATCAGATACTTTTCCCTAATTGATATTTTATGTTTTTAGATACATCTCGCTGGACTTAATCTCTTAATATCAGATACTTTTTCCTAATTGATATTTTATGTTTTTAGATACATCTCGCTGAACTTAATCTCTGAATATCAGATACTTTTTCCTAACTGATATTTTATGTTTTTAGATACATCTCGTTTTTCAGTTTTTGCAGGCCCTGATTATGATGTTCGATTTTAAAATTTAATACCTCGCTCAGTTTATGTCGTACGGATGTCAAACGTTTTCTGTTTTATTTTTACAATGAGTTAAAAAAATAGATTTTGTAATTTTGTTCAAAACTGATCTCTTAAATTTAAAAATGCCGAAATAAAACTCTTTGCGTATTTTAAACATTTTTGTAATTGAAGGTGAGCTTAGGGAGCAGCCCGGTCCACCTTGCAAAACAAATTTTGCCCTATGACCCTATACGGGCTAAACCAGTACAAAAACCACAAACAAGGGCAACCAGCGGCCCAGCCATGTTCAAAATACCCTATAAATAAAATTATGCAGCAGAAAATTAAAACTAAGCACCGAGAAACCAGGCCCCGAGTCCGAGCAACTAAAACGTTAGAATGAAGCAACAAAAGAAACTCAAAATATACATTCAGCCAGCATTTCAAAATATAGCTGCTTGATAAAATTTTCCTTTTTAAAACACACAAGGAAAGAAGAGAAACATAAACTAATCGTAATTCATCAAAATGGTGTGTTAATAATTAAATAAAAAATAAAGAGAAATTAATATTCACACATCACGCAAACATCCACACAACCATACAAACACACGAATCACATAATGCCAATGGATTCTTTATTGTTAGTAATAATCTTCATAATCTTATGTGCTATTGCTCTTGCCTTAAGTAAACCATTTTTCATGAAATCTATGTTCGCTCCATCAATGCATCTGGTTAACTTACATTCTGTAATAAAGTGGACATTGTCTCTTACTTTTGTACATACTTTACATAAATCATTATCTTGAACATAAAATCTTTTCAGATAAAAGGGAAATCTCTTGTGACCTGTAATTAACTGATTCAAGTCAATGTCATTGTTAATATTCATATTATTCTTAGGAACAAAAATCTTCATGAACATATTATTTTTATAAGAGTTTTCCCATTGAGTCCGCCGTTTATCTATACAATGTCACACTTCATAATGTTAATGCATCTTCTCCTGGAGGCTCGTACATTGACAGTTTCCATATCATTACTCATTGTTGTCCCCTTTGCTAAGACATCCGCCCTCTCATTGTCCAAACAACTAATATAGGCTTTAACCCAATTAAAATTCAATTGATGCCTTACCTCCAATTGGACCACCAATTGTTTAATAATTTGAATAGTTAGGGTCAGAAAGTGCTTGAAGAACTGGCATACAATCAGAATGTATTGTAATTACATGTGATTCATTAAGATGTTTTACAAATCACTCCAAGGCCTTTTTGTATAGCAATCAGTTCAGCTTGATACAACGAATTACACAGTCCAGTCACATTAATGTGACCACCACGTACTTTCCATGTCAGAGTTAAATAACCAATCACAGAAGGCAGGTGGCAGCACAGTGCAGTTGAGCGTATATAAAGGGTGTGTGAGGGCTTCGGAAAACATTTCAATCGTTGGCGTAATGCAGAAACGAAGCGATTTATCCGACTTCCAAAAGGGCATGATCATTGGCTTTCGGGCCAAGGGTGGAAGCATTTCCGAAACGGCTGAGTTTGTGAACTGTTCGCGTGCCGCCGTGGTAAAAGTGTACCGTGCATGGCAAAATGGGACTGTCCAAAATCAGCGACGTGGCAAATGTGGTGCACCACGGGCCATAGATGACAGAGGCGAACGACGGTTGCGGAGATGCGTTCGGGCAGATAGACGGGCTACCGTTGAGCAACTGACCACCAAAATGAACCAAGGGGCTACCAAAAGTGTCTCCCAAAGTACTATTCAGCGAACATTGCTGCGTCTGGGCCTCCGAAGCAGACTCCTGGTTCGTGCACCTATGCTGACTGCTGTTCATCGACGCCGAAGGCTAGAATTTGCACGCCAATACAGCAGCTGGACGTCCACTGAGTGGCGACAGGTTGCGTTTTCGGATGAATCGCGTTTTATGCTCCATCGGACAGATGGACGTTGGCGTATAAGGCGTGAAACCTCTGAAAGGAACCACCCTGCAACCATTGCCGGAACGGTCCAAGCTGGAGGCGGGAGCATTATGGTCTGGGGAATGTTTTCCTGGCATTCTCTAGGTTCACTGATCATTGTGGAAGGCACAATGGATCAATACAAGTACGCATCTGTCCTTGCGGACCATGTTCACCCCTACATGCGCATTGTTTTTCCTCAGGATGATGGCATCTTCCAGCATATTTATTTTATTATGTATGGCACCTCGCATTGTTTAAGGACAATGCGAGGTGCCATACAGCTGCCAGTGTACGTGCGTGGTTCGAAGAGCAGCAGGATGAGTTTACCGTCCTCCCCTGGCCAGCAAACTCACCTGACTTAAACCCAATCGAGCATCTGTGGGACCATCTCGATCGAGTTGTTCGCGCCATGGATCCTCAACCGCGTAATCTAGCGCAGCTGGCCACGGCATTAGAGTCGGCATGGCTCAACATCCCAGAGAACACCTTCAGGGACCTATGTGAGTCTCTTCCTGCACGTCTCGCAGCAGTCCGCTCTGCGAAAGGTGGTTATTCTGGCTTTTGACAGATGGTCACATTAATGTGACTGGACTGTGTATATTTTTATAATTTAAACTTCGCATGTTCAATCTGCAGTCCATGATAGAACACTACAAATGCTAAGCCAATTTTTTCCCTCCAACCCCGAGCCATCCGTATAGACCTCAATATCATTAAATACAGGAATGCACCTATTAAAAATAATTGATCTTCTTTCCCTTGGATGTAAAAGATGACAATTAAAAATATAAAAAGCAGTGTTAAAAACAATATCATCTGTATATATATAAAAGTCAATTATTTTGATCTCCATAAAAACTTTTTATAAAAAGCTTTTTATATAACAAGTCATAGGACAACGAGATGGATGGAATGCCAGCAAGTATATTAGCAATTTCCGTAAGAGCAGTTCTAAAAAGTCTTGTGATTGCGAGAGCCAGCCTCTCTGGATAGAATTCAATTTGTTCCTTAGTCTCAGCAACTCCGCCGCCCTAGAATCCCAAGCTCCAACACCGTACATTATAATAGGAGCAATAACACATTAATAAATTTGTTTCATAGTCCTACTCTTAATAGCTATAATAGGAGCAAAAACACATTCATAAATTTGTTTCATAATCCTACTCTTAGTGGCTAAAATCTCCCCAGAGAAGGATCTCTTATAAAATTGTAAAATAGTATCCGTTTTTTTATGGACCATATCAAAATGATCCTTAAACGATAACTTATCATCAAAAATAACTCCAAGGAACTTTAAATTCCTTCCTTTCTTCTCACCTTTATATCGCAGTCTGGGATATATAGTATGTTTACCTCTCCGCGAGAAAAGCATAGCCTTGGTTTTGGTAATATTTAATTTCAATTTTCTATTCAAAGCCATTCTTCTATAACATCCTAAATTTTCACAAAAGTTCTTTCAATCTTCTCGAGGGAGGACTCAGCTGTCAAAACTATTAAATCATCAGCATAGCATATAAATTTTGCATTAATAGGTAACTCCTTATGTAATAAATCGTTAATAACCAGGTTACAGAGCAGCGGAGAGCTATTCGACCCCTGTGGGCATCCTTGAAATTGAAGGTATAGTCTACGCACATCGGTTGCTAAAATTACTAAACATCAGTCGCTTTTCACAGGAAAATTAACCTCAGCCTTATTTTTAAACATGCTGCTGAAATGATAAAGTAGTTACTTACTGCCGTAGTAGCTGAATCATCTGAGGAGCTTGCTGTAGAATCTGCGTTGCTAGATGAAGAACCTCCGTCACTCGATGATGAAGCTACAGTAGTAACTGAGCTAACTGTAGGAGTAGTAGCTGAATCATCTGCCTTAGATGAATCATTTGCTTTTGTCGAATCATCTGTTTTAGAATCTGAAGCATCTGCTGGAGTAGATGAACTTCCTGCGGTATCAGCTGGAGTAGCTGCTGAAGTGGCCTCCGTATCAGCTGGTCTTGAATAAGCCGAGTTTAGAGTCGCAAAAATCACCACAAGCAAAAGGAGCAAATTTTGGACAGAAGCCATCTTTGATTAATCTGTTAAATATAAAAAAGGTTAAGAGATACCAGGAGTTTTCTGCATAATCTATATAAAATATACTGTGTAAATTTGCTACCAGAAAATGCATCGTAATTTCTCGGTTATTAAAAAATAAATGTGATAGTAATACAGTTACATGAAATTGTAACATTTCACTCATTTTAAATGCTGTGACCAGTGTTCACTCATTTAAATGCTTGACTCATTTAAATGTTCACGTTTTTAAGAAGTAAATTTTCTATTAACGGGAGAAAACCTCCTCCTCTCTCAAAATTCCACTTTTTAAACTTGTTTAAATTTCTTTTTAGTAATTCACAATATTTGGTTTTACTTTTGGTTTTGATTTTTCCTTTTATCCTTGCCTACATGAATGACGAAATACAAATTGAATAATTCAAAGAGTTAGGTTTGGAAGCAACTTTCCCTTGATAAGTCTGCCTCCTGCCTGCCCAATAATTATTCACTTATGCACTTTTATAAATTTTTAGGATTAAAAAATTTTATTGGAATTACATATTCATAGATTTTGATACTTGCACTTGATTTACATATGTCTCAGAATTTAAATGATATTGTAGGTTAGTTCGCAGCAATAATTAATCATTTATTTGTAATTCAATTACCAAAGGATCCAAGACAATGCAGCTTCAATGACAACAATAAGAGAAATATACTATACAATACTGGCATCAATGACAAATTCAAAAACTGCAATGCAACCTCAATCAATACAACTAAATACAACCTCAATCAATACTACTAAATACAACTTCAATCAATACAACTAAATACAACACAAATTCAATACAACAATACTACGACAGCCTGGACTACAAAGCTGAAACACAACAATTTCAACAAAACTTACAAACTGTTGATTAATAAACTCTACGATTTGAAAGCGAACGGTGGCAACACTTTTTGAAATAAAGCATTTTTATCTCTAGACTGTTGCCACTTGCTAATATGAGAACGAAAATTAGTGTTTACATAATTTTTAATTAATATCGCGGCGGCTGATTAAAGCTGTATGAAGATGAGAATGGTCGAAATGGCTTCCTACGAATTTTCGGAATCCGGGGGTACCTCTTTCGAAACTCAAATCCCCGCCGTTCCGGAGGAGATTATGTCACAGACAAACCAACAAACAGACGCTCACATATTATAATAGCACAGATTCGTTTGCATACCACGGGACAGTAATTAAGGATAGGAAAATTTCTAGATGAGTTTTGTTTTCTTCATCACCAGGAAATTATTTAAACTTAAAAAGAAAACTATATAGCGCATAACAAAACTAAAAGTGTTATGCGTTGTTGTTGTTACGTATTGCCGTCAATAGATGGCGGAAGCTGTCTACCAGACTTTACGAATTAAGCTACTTTTAACTTTTTTGTTTCTTTTTTTTTTTAGATGGCATCAGATATGCCGCGCACATTATTCGCCGGTCTTATATGTGAAGTTTTATAAAAAAATATACTATTAATATGTTAATATTTATAATTATTTCTATTTTTGATGGTATTCCACTGGGAAATTTATGTTTTAATTCAAATGTGAAGCGGATTCTATGAGGCATGTGAAGCTGATTGTATGAAGTACTGAAGTTGTTATTCGTCAAAAAGCGTGGGCATTATCGAGGTAAATGAAATGTAATTCTTTTTTCTCTAAATTTTGAAAGTATAAAGAGATACTACGATAGTGGAATCACATCGTCTAAATATTTTTAAAGTTTATAAATATATATCACGGGTCTGCTCTGCTCCGAACAACCTTTGACAGCTAGTCTCGGCGTAGTTCTGATTTCGCTTTTAATTTCTTTACCGGTGTTTTTTTATTTTTCAGCACAATATCAAAGAAAAATATAACAATCTCAAACGTTTAAAGGTTGAAGAAAATTATTTCGCAGATGGCAAACAAGACATTTGATTTTAAACGCAATTAATTAATTATCTGTTATGAGAAAATATTCTGTACAATTAATTTTCCAGTCGTGACATATGCCAATGACAATGGTATTCAAATGTCTACATAAATCTGCACAATAATTCCAAATTATTTAGCTTCTTTATCCGGCTGAATTTAAAAGCAGGTTTCAATGTTAAAAAATATCCATAATTGCCTGTTGCTGGTAGAAAATGCCAGAAATGTAGAAAAGCAGTTACTGCAAAAGTAATTGCATTGAGATAGATTATGTAATACTATTTGGAATATTTATCGGTCTCAAAAACGTTACGAATTTAGAGGTTATTTAAAAACAAGTATGCTGACTTTCGGCAGTTGATGTCTAAAATATTTAAATTGTGTAAAAGTGTGAACAGAGGATGTGCTCACTTTTTTCGCATCGACATAGCGTTTTGAATCATCCTACTTTAAAGCGAAATATGCGAAGTAGTCTTTTAAAGAAGAAATACCTGCAAAATTCACAGACTGCATGTTACATACCTTGATGGAATTTCATAACGAATGTAATTAGGAATTCATGACATTTATATTAAGACTGTAAGGCCACCGATTTAATTCTCAGCAACACTGCTCAAATAATATTAAATCAAAATAGATCATTGTAATAAGTTTTGATGTGGGTTTACAAATGGCGCCATCTAGAATCTAAACTGAAAGAAACGATTTTCTGTCGATCAAATCGAAACATGAATCTTTTGTTTCGAAGGCGCGTATTTTAGCGATTGTACCCAAAGCATGCCTCGAATCCGCCCTTAAATACACACCATATCATTTCTGCAGTGAAGTGAGATCTCCCGCCCAGCCGGTTAGTGACTTTGATTGCCGTAGCGTAGGGCCCGGGTTCGAAAACCGGAGAAGGCAAGGATGTAACTGTCCCTTCATAGGAGGCAATGGTGGCCACCTATTTAGATGCTTCCATAATGAAATATCCACCACTTCCGGTCCTTGCAGTGGCGCAAGACTGCAAGGACCGGCGCTGTTAAATAAAGCGCACGGACATTTAAACAAATGAAGTAAGATCTTTACATAAGCCATCCTCCACTAGTGCACTGTAGCGCCCACCAGACACCGAGCGGTTAAAGTGCTAAACACTGGCATTTCGTCCGAGGTTAAAAATTCGGCGAACGGGCTAGGTGCATGGGCGTTTTTGTGGTTTTCTCCATTATAACGTGCATACAAGCCAGTTTCTCTTAAAAAGTCCTCCACGTAACGTCCTGCATAACGTACATAGGTAAATGCTGACAAATATTGTACTTTTTAGCTTTTCTAAAATTTAAATATTTTTTTTTTATATTTAATTAATTGTTGACACTATTTTAAAAGCACTGCGATTTTTTAATGCCTTAAAGAGATGCAATTGCTTTAACGGAAAGAAGAAAATGATGCTTAACAGTAAAGCTGAATAGAAGAAAAGAAGTGGGTTAGTAAGAGTAAGCGCAACAGCACACTGGTAGACTGCGAGCTCAGCGAGAGAATAGGAAAACCTTAACAAACCCTTTTGGGGCACCGTTAAAATGCCGTTAAGGGGGCTCATACACCTTAAAACCCCTTATGATCTTCGGATATGTGACTGTTGCAAGAATTGAGATATTTTATTTATTTCAAAAGCAATTACTTCCAACCTTTTACAGCTGACTACATAATATAGCTGCTTTCGGAACTAGTAACCCGAAAGTTTGTATTGCCACAAATGTTTTTGTAATTTAATCCGTTTGGTGACAAAAGGTTTAGCCATGTTTCCACCTTGCGCGCATGATACTTTAAAATGGCTAATGGTACATACTTGAAATTTGATGGAATTCTTTATATGGGCACTATTTTCTAACTGAACCAAAAATCTGATGAATATTTTAATATTAAAAAAATTTTATGCATGAAAACATTACAAAATTTTTTTAATAAAATACATTTTATAAACTCAACTCCAAATAAAATAAAAATTTAACAAGAAATTCTTAGAATTTTTGCTTCTCAGTAATTTCCAAATGTTATAAAAGCTATATATTAAATATGCAACAGAATATTTTAAACTGTTCGCGCAAGGTGGAAACATGACAAAAAAATTTTTTCACAAAGCGGATTAAATTATAAAAATATTTGTGGCAACACAAACTTTCTGCTTACTATTCCAGAAAACAGCTATATTATGTAGTCAGCTGTAAAAGTTGGAAGTAATTGCTTTTAAAATAAATAAATTGTCTTAATTCTTGCAACAGTCACATATTCGAAGATCTTATGGGTTTTAAGATGTACGAGTCCCTTTAATATGACCGTTCAGATTTTTCTTTCTTTTTTTTTTTTTTTTTTTTTTTTTTTCGTTTTTGTAATTGCGGAATTTTTGCTATTAACTTAATAGCTTTCTTTCTGAAGGCGTGAAACCCACTGTATTCGTTTTCATTTTCTCAGATCGGCTTAAAGTTGGCATAAATTCAGATTAAAATTTTAAAAGAAATGTAAAGGATCTTAGAAAGTATAACAAAACGTTTTCGATAAAAAAAAATTAAATTATTGGAAATAAAGAAGTACACAAAGTAACTACAAATGCCTTGTTTCATTTAAGTAAATAATCTTAAAAAGTTTGACTGCTAAATCAGTGTGAATAGGTAGCTGAAAATGTAAAAAATCTAACTATATTTAGGCTCACCAGCGGCTGAACGGTAAAAGTCACTGAACACTGGTACTTCTGTCCGGGATTCGAACCCATTGAACGGGCTAGCTGGATGGGTGTTTTCGTATTTTTTCCCGTTCGTAGAGTGTGTACCAGAAGGTATCTTTTAGAAAGCCCTCCACGAAGACATTTTTCCTCTTTAGCGGACAGAATATCATGATAAGTAGATGAATATGTTTGAGGAAAACTGAGGGTTCAAAGTTGCAGACCTTTTTGCAAGCTTTCAATAGTGATGTCTCTTTGTTTTTAGCGTAATACTGTATAGAGAGCTTGTTTCAAGCTTCGTTGCATCTGTTTTCAGAAGCAGGAATATACTTAGTTAGTTTCACTCCATTCTGATGTAGTACACTTCTAAGATAGTTAGATTTGTGTATTAGATGAAGATTGGTTATTATGAAATATTGATGCAAACAATTCCTTAAATAAAGGTAAATTCTATAATTTACAGGGAATGGATTAATATTTAATCTCGAAAACTTTACATCAAATTTTTTAACAGTGAGGAATTTCAAACAAATATATTTTGATAGAGAGTGTTGTAAACGTAGAAATTATTTCCTTTAAGATGAAATGAAAGCTTTAATCAACTAAAACTTCACATAAAACAGAACATCAAATGATGCATTATGAAAACAACATTTAAACAAAGAATAACAACATTTTTTTTTTAAATTTGAAATTCGAAACAATTTCGAAATTTGGGAGTCCCGGTCCGCATGTTCGGATGGAGGATTACGTTATTCAAAGTTTGATGGCTCTAGATACCTTCGTTTTTTCATAATGCGAGAAACATTCATAGATTCATGCAGATCCTTCATTATTTAATTTCTTTAAATATAATAGAGAGCTATAATGTATTTCGTGCTAACAATTTGAAAAGTGAAGCGAACATTTATAGTGAAACTACGCAAAATGCCGTTTCGAAACCTTCTAGGCTACTGCCCTTTTGGGCTAATAATACATTTATTAATTTAGAAGTCAAACAACAAAAATCAGCGTTATATTTTCAAATTTTCACAGGACTAGTTTCGATGGTTTTACAGAACCATCATCTTCAGCTGCAAAAACGCAAAATGAGCTTTCTGATATATTTTTTTTCGAGGAGTATATAACTAAGGGCTTTATACCCAGGATATTTGTCCCAGCACCTTGTGCTGCACAACGCACTTAGATGTACACAGTCTTTACTTGATTATGTCAAAGCACTCAAACACTAAAGAGAATGATGTCTTCCTGAAAGACCTTTCTAAGGTTACACATTAGGAAAACCACGAAAGCGCCCTTGCAGTCAACCCGTTCTTCGAGATTCAAAGCCCGGCCTGTATTACATATGTTTTAAAATTTGGAGAAAGCAACCCCCAAGAAATAAAGCCTCGAAACTTTGTTATATAAGAGATAGAATCATGGTCTGAGCAGGGATTCTTTTGAATGGCTGCACTAACATACCTACTCTAGCTGTGCAACCATGAATGCTGAAATTAAGGGGTGAAATTTCTGATCCATATGTCAAGCATTTAGAAGTCCAGTCTATAATAGCATCCTCCTAACAGTCGAAAACGCTTGTTCCCGATGCGCTGTACTGGCGACTAATTACCTTGAGAGCAAAGGTATGGAGCGGAGGGAAGTGTCCCGCTTATTCTCAGAATTTAAACGTCACAGAACGTGTGTGGGATGCAGTAGCATACTGATTTGCCTCACTGCAGCTCACAGCTGACACTCTGCAGCGGTGTGTTACCTTTATTTATTAAATATCATATTCTTCGCACTTAAACCATAAAATTCAATCCAACAGCAATACCGCAGAATATTCAAAAGGGTATATCTGTAGAATATACAGCCTCACGCGCTGGGATAAAAATGTCTTCCCTCCCCCCCGTACAGTGTTGCCATTGCTCGCTTTGAAAGTTTTGAGTTTCTTAATAAAAAAACTCATAAATGATTTACAAAACATGAAATAAATGATAAAAAAATTCCAAATCTCAAATTTGGGCTTGCAGATGCCCATATTCGGGTGGAGACGTACGTTATTCAAAATTGAATGGCTCTAGATACCGTTGTTTTATAACAATGCGAGAAATATACTTATTCTTCATTATTTAATTTCCTTATACAGAGCGATAATATTTGGTGGCAAAAGGGTATATCTGTATAATATACAGCCAATTTCAAAAGTGATTCGCCGTTTATAGTGAATCGACGTAAAATGCAAAAGGAAATTAATAGCCCTTCTGAGCTAACACTTCTTTGGGCTAATAATGAAGAATCTGCATAAATGCACGTATCTTTCTCGCATTGTGATAAACAATGGCATCTAGAGCCATCGAATTTTGAATAGCATAATCCCCCACCGAATATGGGCATCTCGAAGCCCTAATTTGGAATTTGTTTCACTATCGATTTCATATTTTGTAATACTTTAACGAATTTTTTATTAAGAAACTCAAAGATTTGAAAGCGAGCAATGGCAACACTGTGCGAAATTTTTTTTTTTTTATCTCCAGCGCGTGAGACTGTGTATCGGAAATTCTAACGATGTACTTATTTTAAATTTATTTTGCGATATTGTTATTGATTTGAATTTTTATGGTTTAAGTGGGAAGAACATGATATTTAATAAATAAAGGTAACGTACAAAACGTTAAACAACACGCCCCTTGGGCGTAATGTAAAATCTGAAAGCTTTCAGACTTTTTTAAAATTTTTATTTTCTGTTTTTAAAATTGATTGTTTTAATATTAACACTTTATTTTCACTTAAAAACAATATGATTTTAGACTGCGAGACTGTGAATCTGGAATTCATGGAATTATTCCTGATCAAAATTTGTACGATTGTTTTATAAATATATGTTTCGGCAAAAAAGGGAGGGAACGTAAGAGTTCAACGTCTGCAGGTAAGGGCTTTGAGATTAGTATGCTTCTTTAATAGTTTCTACCCCAAAACTTCATTCACTTTGTGATCTTAACCGCAATCTAGTAACAAATAGCTCAATGCATACAACCAAGTTACTAAAAATGCAATTAATACATCAGTAAAATATTTGCACAATTAGCATAATGTCTTTGATACTTTATTTTAATAAGAAGTTCAATATTAATAAATCATAAATATGTTTATTAAAAATAAACATTTTATTAAAAATAAACATATAGTAAACTTTCGTTATCTCGAGGCTTTAGAAACTAGAGAAAACTATCAGAGATTCCCATATTAACTTATCGGGTTAAGATTATTTCCATATTAAATTATTCTATATAATTTACATTTATTTAAATGAATCAAACTCATAGATTTAACACTTTGGAACTTTCTAACTTACGAAAATATTCTATTAATAAAATTATGAAAAAGAAATACAATTAAAATAATAAAACATCGTATTTTCTTAAATAATTTATCTAAATCTATAATTATTTAAAAATATTATTTATATTAATATTATATAATATTTATATTAAATAAAATAGTAAATTCATATTATTTTAAATTTATTAATTGTAGTTATATTAATCGAACTTTTTTAAAAATTTTGGCGCAAATATTCTGGATATTCAGAATTATTTTAAACTATTTTATCACGTATTGTTATGTATAAGTATCTATCTTGGGATTAGTGAGAACTGAGTTAAAATATAATTTAAAATCTATTTAAGCTACATAATAAGTCATAACATTTATTAGTATAAATTATATTATACTAATAAAATTATTTACTGATACTTCTGTATCAAAAACAAACATTTCATATTCCTTTGGTAGTTTAATATAAATTTGACACTAAGCGAGCCCTTAAAAAACCGATTGTTTAATAATTGACCGGAAGGAATCTGTAAACGTGATTCTGATATTTCCGTTAATTTTAATATATTTGGAGATTAAATATTTATTCGAAAAAACTTAGAATTTATTGATTAATATTTAATAACTCTATTGTTTAAAGAAAGTTTCGCCCAATGTAATGAATCAAAAGTAAGGTCAAAATGTTCCTCTGCTCTGTTGCACTCTCATAATAATAATAATAATAATAATAATAATAATTAAATACTTGAAAATTTTGATTTCAAATTCCTAAGTACTAATCTAAGTACGATAATACCAATTCTAAATTAATGTGAAATTTGAGCTTACCTTTTTTTTTTTTAACACAAAGATTTCGTGTGAGGTTACGTTTATTGATTGTCAGTAATCCAACTAAGCGTTTCGCACAGAGCTTCAAGGTATACTGATACTATCTAGATTCCTCTTCTCAGTTTATTTTTTTCGTCATAACCTAGCTTTCCTTGCATACTTTCGTTTCATTACGCATGCGCGTGTTTTCGAAATTCGTTCTACTGTATTTTCTGACTTCTCAGCCTTGGCACCATAATGCAGCTGACAAATACGGATTGAAATACTTTCACACCAAATAGTTTCTAAGCTTTCAACTGCATTCTCATACATTTCTTTTTAAAGATAATATTCCAGGGATTTAGAAGCGCCATGATCGTCAGACCAAGATCGAAACTTCGGAATTAATCTCGACGAAACATTATTTATTTTTTATATAAACGGATCGTACATTAGTTTTGCCTTCAATCGTGTGCGAAGCATTTTTCTTTATGTAAATCCGTTTTCTAATAATCTCATACCAATGGCAGATTTATGAAGTGTCAGCCTCATCTCACCAGGGAGATTTTATATTTTTTTTTACGCTTGTACACTGCGTTTTCCTCAATTCGGAAAGTTACTGCCACATGTGCGACGGCTTAAATACGCTGTTGCCAATAACTTTGGTTAATTTGTTTTTAGTAGTTACTATTCCTTTTATTTTACATATCACGAATTTGAGTCTATGGGCAGCGAAAAGAGGCAAAAATGTTACTGAAGGTTGGGTCTGTTCAAGGATTCCTTAATTTTTTATCATACCCTCCATTCCGTAAATTAATAACTCTTAACATGAGTCATCCCTAAAGAAAGACTACACACATAAAGTTTTTTGTTTTTAAAATAAGTGCACGATATCAAATTAAATAAAAGTTTTTTTTTGTCTTGTTAGCGATACAGTTTGAATTTGAAATGTTAGGATTAAGAACTTTTCCAAAAGATGTAAATAACCCTAATATTTCACTAACAGAAAGACTGTGGAATGATCTTGCAGAACTGGAAATCCTTCTTTCAACACCGTATATAGCCACAAAAACGTTTTTTGTTTTTAAAATAAGTGCACGATATGAAATTAGAGAAAACGAAATTGCACGATATCAAAATAGAGTCGGAGTCATGCAGTCGGAATCGGAGTCGGGTAGATTTTGGGGTAAAAAGAGTCGGAGTTGGAGTCGCTAAAAACACATCGACTCCGACTCCAGTTTTTGTTGAACAGTTTGAATTTGAAATGAAATTAAAGTGAATTGGAAAAAAAATAAATGACAAACTGAGTTAATATTTTTATTTATGGACTACATACATTAATAAATAGATATTTTCTATTTTTATTGACATATTAGTAAATAAACATAAGGGAGCAGGATGGATGTGATATTTGCCATTATTGATTAAACTGATTCATTTAGTTACTAATCTCATTGGTGAATTGAGGTAAGCAGCAAGAACTCTCAAAATCGATGCCATTCTTAGGAGGCAAGCAGGAAAAGGAGCAACACAATGGAGAAGTAAGTATTTGATGATATAAAAGTGGTTGTTAGGATTAAGAACTTTATCAGAAGATGTAAATAACCCTAATATTTCACTAACAGAAAGACTGTGGAAAGGTCTTGTAGAACTGGAAATCCTTCTTTCAACACAGTATATAGCCACAAACAAGCTACAATCTGAAGAATGAACAGGAGACGAGAATGTTAGAAGATGTAGATAACCTTAATGTTTCACTAACAGAAAGACTGTTAAATGATCTTGCAGAATTGGAAACTCTTCTTTCTATACCGTATATAGCCACCAAAAACCTACAATCTGAAGAATTAACAAGAAGCAAGACTGGAAGAATGCGATGTTTGTTCTTTCTGAAATGGAGAGTTTATTGCAGAAGGAATCATTTCTTCAATGAAGAAAAGAGAAACTAGTTTGCTAAACAAAACGATCGCGCTGAGTCCAATATATGTAGATCCAAAATGCCGAAATTTGTTGGATGACAAACAAATTAAAAAGGCAAAGAAAGCCATCTGTGAACTTTCATTAAGAATGAAATTATTCTCAGAACAACTGAAGTATTCAAATCAGGACAGTCAAACTGCAGATATTGCAACTGAGTCTCTGTCATCTTCATCCACTGATGAATTAGATGGGAAATATTTGGATAATATTGAAAAGGCTAAGGCAAAGCGAATGAAAATAAAGAACCAAGAGCCTTTAGGTATAAAAATGAAAAAATACAAACAAGATTTCTACACGGCCTTTGAAGAAATAGATAAATCTGATTGCTCTTGCAAGACACCTCTTTTAGAACTTACAAAAATCTATCCTGAAAAGTTAAAGGAAGTAGCCGTAACAGTAACAGCTCTTCTTCGTACTCAAATCGGTGTGGAAAGACTCTTCTCAGTTCTGAAGTTTATTAAATCGGATCTATGGTCCTCTAACAAAGAAGATCTTGCCGAAGTTTTACTGTTTCTTAGAAATTACCAATGCCAGTTTTTCCATTTCATAATAAATGTTATTTAATATAGAAAATATGCTATGCATCAATTTTTATCTGTAGCATCTACTACTTCTTTTATATTGAAAAAAAATAAGCTGTACCCATGTTTATATGTTTACATATATATGAAGGTGTCGGAGTCGAAGTTGGAGTCGTTAAAATTCCAGGAGGCGTAGTCGGTCATTTTCTCTACGGACTCCACAGCCCTGCTTTTCTGAACAAAGGTAGAGTAAAATGTTTTACGGAAACTAGCGACTCGTTTATTATTATTAAAATATATAGAACCGATTTCATTCATACTGAAATGCTTTTATTTCTTTTCAGGTGCACATAGAATTTATATATTTTGCTTGAGCCGCAGCCCGCTCATCGGGCAGGCCTACCCGCTAGTAATACTATTAAAATCTGTGCGCGCCTGTCTGTTTGTTTGTTTGTGTTTGTAACATCATCTCCTGCGGAACGGCGGGTAGTACCCCTGGATTTAAAAAATTCGTGGAAAGCCCATTTGCCTTTTCGCACGACCTTAGTCTGCCGTATATTAATTAAAATCTCTGAAAACGCTAATTGTCGCACCCTGTAAGTTGACTTTTTCGCTGAGCTTCATTGCTGTTTAAAGGGTGCTGCGTCGAAGCGCGTATGAAGTGGAATTTTAAAATTGCCATCCGTCTTTTACTTTACAGTAAATTTTTTTTTATGAAATCACGCGGCTCGTTTATTATTATTAAAATCTATGGAACTGGTTTCATTCATATTGAAATGTTTTTATATATTTTCTTTTCAGGTGTACATAGCACTAATAAATCTTACTTTGGCCGCAGCCCGCTGGTGTTATTGATAATCACTTACCAATTACGTTAATATTTGTTTCTAGATTGGTTAATTTTAGTTCTAATCCTAGCTAGTTTGAGGACCAGATTCCGCAGTCTTCTGTTAGCGCTTTCTGTGTACGTACGCAAGCAGACTTTGTTTGCTCAGCATAGAGTAACAGAAAGTTTTTTGTTACTGTCTGTTCTCTTATGTAGGTAGCGCAATATTCCGATTCCGCCATTTATTATACGGTACAATAATTTTTGTGAGAAAAGGCAAAAGGTGAGAGGCAATCTTTGGGTTATCGTTTACGAGTACGTCTTCAAATAGGCAAAATAGTCTTCAGTCTGGAGTTCTTCATGATTCTTGTCCAATGCTTTTTCTTCTCGAGTTAGGTCGACATTTGTACAGCTGAAACGTACTCGAGTTTTACTGATATAAATTAAGTCGTAACACAGCAAAATTAGCGTATTTCTGACACCCAATTATTAGATCATAATTTCAAAACATTAAATCAAATGCGTATTTTTGTACAGCCGATTTAAGATTATTTCCATCAAACCTCTACATGATAGGATTCTAACTGATCGACACACTATACATGTCGACCTGACAGCCAGTTTCTGATCAAATTCCAGCATCGATGTGCTTCTGCATGAACAGTTGGTAATCGACCTTTGAGAGATTTTTAAGTGCCAGACTGCAATAGATGTGGCACATATTGCAGTAAATGTGGTAAATAAATTACCTCCATATGCATTTTTATGCTTATTGCGTACGTTTATGTATTTAAGCCGTTTGCCAACTGAAATTTCATAACGCATTGTACGCAGTTATATTTCTTTTGCAGTAACCAATTTCCAAGAGGCAAATGACACATTACATTACAATTCACTTAATTTTATATATGCTTTATGCTCATAATTAAAGTGTATTACGAGCATCGTTCTTTACTTTGATTTGCAATGCAGGCTATTACTGGAGAAATTTGTGATTTTCTTTCACCAACTTTGTTAGAGTTGGGAGTTTTTGATGTAAGTGTCCTATCGCCTTCTTCATGTTGTCAACGGCGCTTTTTGCTTTCCTATGAAGTTGCACACGCATACGTTGCAAACATATTGAAATAATTTGTTTCTCTGTTACTAAAGCACTTATTTGGCGGCTAATTTGCTTTGCATAGCTCTTGACCTCTAGCAGCCAAGAAAGCACCTTCGCAATTTTATTCTCTAAAGTGTTTGTTCTTGACTGCATATCTTAGAATGGGAATGAACCTCCTTCTGAATTCGGCTTTTTTGAATGAAGTGACTGTTAACGGGTAAGAGAACAGGTAAATTTCGGAATGACCGCTTTCTCCACGCACACAGGAATCTGTGACTAGAGACATTTTTTATAGCAGTACTTGAGAAAAGAGCCTTGGAGAGTGATGAACCATGTGATCAGTCTGGCGTCATGGCTCGGAAGAGAATCGATTTTGGAGAAGAGGTTATAAACTCTTCTCCCTCTTTTGTGTACGTGCTCAACATTTATAAGATGCTATGCTTATAGAAGCAATGTTCTTAAATTTTCCACGTGCTAGACACAGATAGAACATAGTCCCGGAGCCTGAAACTGTGACCAGGTGACGCAGCTTTAGTTTCGGGTGTGAAGCTCGAAAGGAAATGCTTATTTTCATGGCATGTTTTACATAGGCTGCCTTCTTGGCTAATATGTCAGCCTTCTTGTTTCCTTGAGACCAACATGGGCTTTAGTCCAAATTATAAAAGAAATCATTTGTGGGTCTTGGGAGGCTTGCTGAGAATTTCCTAAACTAATGGTGACTTGTTGGAGAAGTCAGACAAGAAGAATCAGCGT